GGATCTTTCTGAAATTGTACTGCAAGGTTCCATATCACAAAGGGAAAGCTGGAATTGAGTTTGGGGGTAATTGCCCGAAACGTTTAGGAATTGGGGGCCAAAAAGGGGCCAAAAAACACATTTTTCTAGTTTCCAGACAATAACTTGTGTTCAAGTGTATGGATCTCTCTGAAATTGTACTGCAAGGTACCATACCACAAAGGGAAGGCTGGGATTGAGTTTGGGGGTGATGAATCATAAGGGGTTCAAAAAATTTGGGGGGGGGATTTTTTTTTTTTTTCATTTTTTTTCTTTTTTTCTTTTTTTTTTCTTTTAAAATTTTCCATTTTAAGTTGGTTATTTCTGATTTATATTTAAAAGCAAAGCATAATGATATGGTAGGAGATACACACCAAACAGGATGTGTAAATTATTATATAATAAGTATTGTGCAATAGCAAGAAATTTTCAATTGCACAGTATTGCACAATAGCAAGAAATATCCAATAGCACAATATTGCGCAATAGCAAGAAATTGTCAATTGTGCAGTATTGCGCAATAGCAAGAAATATTCAATTGCACAGTATTGCGCAATAGCAAGAAATATCCAATAGCACAATATTGCGCAATAGCAAGAAATTGTCAATTGTGCAGTATTGCGCAATAGCAAGAAATATTCAATTGCACAGTATTGCGCAATAGCAAGAAATATCCAATAGCACAATATTGCGCAATAGCAAGAAATTGTCAATTGTGCAGTATTGCGCAATAGCAAGAAATATTCAATTGCACAGTATTGTGCAAAAGAAGATACTTCGTATAAATTGCTTATTTCTTGACCAATTTCAATGGGGTTTTATTCTTGAATTCTTGGGGTTCTTTAATATGCTGAATCTAACCGTGTATTAAGTTTTTGGATTTTGGGCCCCGTTTTTAAATTGGTCCACATTGAGGTCCAAAGGGTCCAAAATTAAACTTTCTTTGATTTCATCAAAAATTGAATTATTGGGGTTCTTTGATATGCCGAATCTAACCGTGTATTTAGATTCTTAATTTTTGGTTCCGTTTTCAAATTGGTCTACATTAAGGTCCAAAGGGTCCAAAATTAAACTAAGTTTGATTTTAACAAAAATTGAATTCTTAGGGTTCTATGATATGCTGAATCTAAACATGTATTTAGATTTTTGATTATGGGCCCAGTTTTCAAGTTGGTCCGAATCGGGGTCCAAAATTAAACTTTGTTTGATTTCAACAAAAATTGAATATATGGGGTTCTTTGATATGCTGAATCTAACCATGTATTTAGATTTTTGATTTTTGGGCCCCGTTATCAACTTTGTCCACATTGAGGTCAAAAGGGTCCAAAATTAACTTTGTTTGATTTCATCAAAAATTGAATTCTTGGGGTTCTATGATATGCTGAATCTAACCATGTATTTAGATTTTGGATATTGGACCATAATAGGTGAATGTCCAATTTAAAATTTTCAAGTTCTTAGACCACATTCATTCTGTGTCAGAAACCTATGCTGTGTCAAATATTTAATCACAATCCAAATTCAGAGCTGTATCAAGCTTGAATGTTGTGTCCATACTTGCCCCAACTGTTCAGGGTTTGACCTCTGCGGTCGTATCAAGCTGCGCCCTGCGGAGCATTTTATTCTAGTTTCCAGACAATTACTTGTGTTCAAGTGTATGGATCTCTCTGAAATTGTACTGCAAGGTACCATACCACAAAGGGAAGGCTGGGATTGATGATGGGAGTAATTGCCTCAATATTTTAGGAATTTGGGGCCAAAAAGGGGCCAAAAAACACATTTTTCTAGTTTCCAGACAATAACTTGTGTGTAAGTGTATGGATCTCTCTGAAATTGTACTGCAAGGTACCATACCACAAAGGGAAGGCTGGGATTGAGTTTGGGTGTGATGAATCATAAGGGGGTTCAAAAAAATTGGGGAGGGGGGGGGATTTTTTTTTTTCCTTTTTTTTCTTTTTTTCCTATATTTTCTTTTAAAATTTTCCATTTTAAGTTGGTTATTTCTGATTTTTATTTAAAAGCAAATAATAATGATATGGTAGGAGATACACACCAAACAGGATGTGTAAATTATTATATAATAAGTATTGTGCAATAGCAAGAAATTTTCAATTGCACAGTATTGCACAATAGCAAGTAATCTTCAATTGCACAGTATTGCACAATAGCAAGAAATCTTCAATTGCACAGTATTGCGCAATAGCAAGAAATATCCAATAGCACAATATTGCGCAATAGCAAGAAATTGTCAATTGTACAGTATTACGCAATAGCAAGAAATATTTAATTGCACAGTATTGTGCAAATGAAGATACTTCATATAAATTGCTTATTTCTTGACCAATTTCAATGGGGTTTTATTCTTGAATTCTTTGGGTTCTTTAATATGCTGAATCTAACCGTGTATTTAGTTTTTGGATTTTGGGCCAAGTTTTTAAATTGGTCCACATTGAGGTCCAAAGGGTCCAAAATTAATCTTTGTTTGATTTCATCAAAAATTGAATTATTGGGGTTCTTTGATATGCCGAATCTAACCGTGTATTTAGATTCTTAATTTTTGGTTCCGTTTTCAAATAAGTCTACATTAAGGTCCAAAGGGTCCAAAATTAAACTTAGTTTCATTTTAACAAAAATTGAATTCGTAGGGTTCTTTGATTTACAGAATCTAAACATGTATTTAGATTTTTTATTATGGGCCCAGTTTTCAAGTTGGTCCAAATCGGGGTCCAAAATTAAACTTTGTTTGATTTCAACAAAAATTGAATATATGGGGTTCTTTGATATGCTGAATCTAACCATGTATTTAGATTTTTGATTTTTGGGCCCCTTTATTAACTTTGTCCACATTGAGGTCGAAAGGGTCCAAAATTAAACTTTGTTTGATTTCATCAAAAATTGAATTCTTGGGGTTCTTTGATATGCTGAATCTAACCATGTATTTAGATTTTGGATATTGGACCATAATAGGTGAATGTCCAATTTAAAATTTTTAAGTTCTTAGACCACATTCATTCTGTGTCAGAAACCTATGATGTGTCAAATATTTAATCACAATCCAAATGCAAAGCTGTATCAAGCTTGAATGTTGTGTCCATACCTTGCCCCAACTGTTCAGGGTTCGACCTCTGCGGTCGTTTCAAGCTGCGCCCTGCGGAGCATTTTATTAAAATTTTAATAACTTTCTTATACTATTTTGGATTTGTACCAAACTTGGACAGAAGCTTGTTTATGATCAAATGCTAGTATCTAGAAGGATATTTTGTTTTTTTCCAGTTAACATTACATTCAGTCTACAGTTAAAGTTTTTAAACATTTATTAGATTCATAAACTATCCTAGGTTTTTACCAAACTTGGACAGAAGCTTCTTACAATCAAAAGATACTATCAAGAGGAATATTTTTATTGATTTACTTCCTCATTTTTGTTGAGCCTGCGATTAACAGAAAAAGTAGGCGAGACACTGGGTTCCACGGAACCCTTACGAATTTTTCTTGTTATTACAGTATTCCTAATATCAAACATGTTTAATCTTGCCACATTCTGTATGTGCCTGTCCCAAGCCAGGAGCATGTAATTCCGTGGTTGTGTCGTTGCTGTTTATCTTATTTGTTTTTCGTCTATTGTAAACATAAAATCGGGCCTTTAGTTTTTGTCGAGCCTGCAACTTTTGTCGCAGAAAGCTCAGCATAGGGATAGTGATCCGGCGGTGGCGGTGGCGTTAAATAACTACTTAAAAGCTTAATATTTCAGAAGGTAGAAGACCTGGATGCTTCATACTTTGTATATAGATGCCTTATGATGTGAAGTTTGCGTCTGTCATATGTCCGTTGTCCTTGACCTCAATTTCATGGTTCAGTGACTACTTGAAAACAAAATTCAGATTTTTTGTAATGTTAATTTCTCTCTTATTATGAGCAATAGGATAACTATATTTGGTATGTGCGTACCTTGCAAGGTCCTCGTGCCTGTCAGACATTTTTCACTTGACCTCGACCTCATTTCATGGATCAGTGAACAAGGTTAAGTTTTTTTGTGGTCAAGTCCATATCTCAGATACTATAAGCAATAGGTCTACTATATTTGGTGTATGTAATGATTGTAAGGTGAACATGTCCAACTGACAGGTGGCATCTGACCTTGACATCATTTTCATGGTTCAGTGGTAACAGTTTAGTGTTTGTGTTTTGGTCTGTTTTTCTAATACTGTATGCAATAGGTCAACTTTATTTGCTGTATGGAAATATTTTATGATGTACATGTCAGTTTGGCAGGTTTTATTTGACCTTGACCTCATTTTCACGGTTCATTGCTCAATGTTAAGTTTTTGTGTTTTGGTCAACTATATTTGGTGTATGGAATGATTGTAAGGTGTATATGTCTGTCTGGCAGGTATCATCTGACCTTCACCTCATTTTCATTGTTCATTGGTCAATGTTCAGTTTTCCAGATTGACTTTGTTTCTTAGATACTATAAGTAATAGGTCAACTATATTTTATCCATGGAATGATTTTAAGGTGTACATGTCTGTCTGGCAGGGTTCATCTGACCTTGACTCCATTCTCATGGTTCATTGGTCAATATAGAAATTCTATGGTTTGGTCTGTTTCTTTTATACTATAAGCAATAGGTCATCTATATTCTGTGTATAGAATGATTGTATTAAAGGTGCCTTGGTTTATCTGACCATGACCTCATTTTCCTGGATCATAAATGTTAATGTGATACTTGTAGTAAAACTTTATATGTAGGACTATCAACATAAAATCAATGGTCAGTATAGTAGGGAGACATTTCAGCGTGTGCACTCTTTGTCTTGTTTTACATTTCAGGGCCTTTATAGCTTACTATGCGGTATGGGTTTTGCTCATTGTTGTAGGCTGTATGGTGACCTGTAGCTGTTAACTTCTACGTTATTTGGTCTATGGTGGGGAGTTGATTCATTGGCAATCTTGTCACATCTTATTTTTATACACAATGGCAAACATTTTAGGACATTTTAATACAATAATCTCTAAAAAAAACTATTTCCGTCTGTTTCTACTTAAAATGTGATTTTTTCTTTGCTTTAATATTATTAGTCAGGAACATCCGCTTGATCCATATGATTTCCATTGCCAGTGTAAAACTTTTTTTATGACACACTGATTTTTGATGATATTTACACTTTTATAGGCAAACTCGATCCCTGAATTGTTTAACTGACAAGGTCATTGTTTCTGTTTAAAAATATACAAGCATCTCTGAATTCTAATGTACATTATTAAACCATTCCTTAAGAAAAATATCACCATTTGTCAATTTACCTTTGTAGGGATATGTAAATTATTCCAACTAAGATATTCCTTTCTTAGCTCAAGGTACGGACAACAAACACACTAATGCTATAAATTAACCAAAATGACGAAATGATAACGAGTGGAATCAAGTGTATTAGTAGTTGAAGAGATGTTATGATTGCAAAATTATTTCTACATAATTCAGTTTCATGTAACTCTAGGCTATAAACATATTACAGTTGTACAACAAATAAAGAGCTAACACTATTTTGATTATGTTTTCTTTGCTTTATTTAACTTCATTTTCTTTTTCTGTGATTTAGGTCCCTTCTTTCCTGTTCTTCTTCTTTTAAATGTCATTTTGCTACTTGTTTGTCCCTCTTTGACTACTTTGACAAATCCTGTAGGAGTTATCTCCACCTTGCCATCCTCTACTGTCGTGATTTCATCTACAACTAACTCTTTCTTTGTCTTTTTTGTTACAGGCAAGTTAACCTCTTCATTTGATCCTGTAAAGAGTTAAGTCTTTTAAATATACAATTTTACAGAAGGGGGCATAATATATACTTATTTTAATATATGAAAAGAAGATATTGGGTAAATATAAAGAACCAGTATCTCTCACCTGGATCTACATGCATTTTCACGATTGAGACTAGAGTATACTGTTTGACTAAAATCTTCTTTTTTTTTTTCCTGTTTACATTTTTTTTATCTAGTCCAGTATTTGCAAAATGTGCAAAAAAAAAATAAAAGAAGAATGTGTCAGAGGACAAGAATGCCCTTGCTCAAGCTTTGCAATTTTTCAAGCTATAAAGGGGCATAACTCTAGAACACTTTATGACATACTGCTAAAATTTAAACTCTGTCTGCATGTTTTGGTTCTTAGCATTGTGTATTAAGTTTCATAAAATTTGCATGAGGCAAACTTAAGAGTGTAGAAACAAAAAAAATTGCAATTTTTCAAGTTATAAAGAGCATAACTCTAGACCAATAAGTGACTCACTGCCCAAATTGGAACTCAGTCTGTAAGTTTTAGTTCTAAGCATTGTGTATGAGTGTCATAAAATTTGCATGAGGCAAACTTGAGTCAGAGTGTTGAAATGAAACAAAAATTGTGACCAACACTTAATGCCCCCGTTGCCAACGGGGGCATAAAAAAAATAAAAAATCATCATTTCTGCCATGTTTGCCACCTAATCAGTAATCATTCATAGTTACTGTGTTTTCTTCCAAATAGGACAAAATGATAAAAATCACCTTAAATTCATTTGCACATAAATCCTGCCAGGTTTTTATGGTAAATGTGGTTAATTTATTAATTAATTCCAAATTAACTTGCCATTAAAATTTATAAAATTATAACTCTTGAACAGGGCTTCCAAAAAATATTTGATCCAGCCTGACATTTTTTTAGTCTTATCCCAATTTTAATCCCTTAAGACTTAGTTGTGTTAGTAACAAAAGGCAACCAAAGTAATCAGTTGATCATCATATATTATAAATTACGATGATACAAAAAAGATATTTAACTTGATTTTTTATATAAATTCAATGTTCTGGCGTTAACTGTTAAAATGACAGTGCATCATTTGAAGTGTGCAACATCAGCATACTAATATCTGCATTAGACTCTTTTATTTGTGCAAAATTACGCTGTCAATAACTTCACTTTCGTTCTTAAAAAGTACATTTTCCTAATATCAGATGTTGACTTGACAATGGTAAAACATGGACCAGAGACGGATACGTAAAATCTGTGTATGTTTACAAAGCACGATTGAGTTTAAGTAGCTCTTTCCGCGTAATTTCTTCAGGAAGATACTCAAAAATGGACATTAGATAAAGGTATCAATGATATTTTTAGCATTTAAAAAAAAATTGTGGTGGATGCATAATTAAATCTCAAACCTGCGCTAATGCGCGACAGGAGTATTAGTTCAAACAACATGGTTCTCAGTGACGACTTTTCGCTTAAAACCTTTATTACTACCTTTTTTAATTTTCATCAAATCATATTTATATATGTTTTCTGATAATCTAAATCTTTTTGACTAAATTAATTAAATGCAAACTGCTGAAATTTAAGAAAATAACTTTTTATAGTCCGATCAATGTCCGGTACAAAATAGTTTGCCTGTCGCCTGAACAGGTAAATTTCAGCTGTCAGAGAACTAATTAACCTTGATCGTAATGAGAGGGTATTAAAGAAGGGTTTGTTTTGATAGTAATTATTCATCATGTCACTTATATGACCGGAAATGTGTGGCTGTTTAAGGCAAAAGGTCAGGTCAAAAAGCATAAACTTCATTTTTTTTCTAAACTATGTTAAAATGTCAGTTTCAGCCTTGGCACAAGTCATTTATATAATTTACAGGACAATACGACCGTTTTGGAAGCCCTGCTCTTGAACTCATAGTTTTAAGGAAGACATGTTGTTGACAGCATCTGGTGAAATAGGTGTTAACTGCTATTCTATAGATATTATGACTAAACCTAAGCAACTTACCCATTGATACATATAAAGGTAGAGCCATGGAATCCTTAGTTTTAAGGTAAACATTTCTGATGTTGACAGCACCTCCTGGAATAGCCGAAACCAACTGTTCCAAGGCAGACATGACATTTTCTACAATCTGTGTTGTTTTCAGGTCAAAATGGGCAACTCTTACCATACTGATGGATAAATATAAATACAACAATTTTAATAGAATATGGTGAACATTCGAGGATAAAAACATGAACAGCTGTTTTACCTGGCATGCAATTACTTATTTTTTAAGATATGAGTTGTCATTCCATGCAGATTCTATTGTGTAAAATTTCATTAGTAAGTTTAATCTATATAAATTCTGATATCAAAGGTAAACAAATTTTACATGTATAAAAATATTTTCTATAAAAATACATGTATATAAAAAATAAAAACATTTACAGGGTTGTTCCATAAAAACATACATAGGACCCAGGGAAGGCACTTTGAAATCTCAACTATGGGTGGGTGTTAAAATTATTATGAACAGTGAAAATGTAAAGAGAAATTCTAAATTGCCTCTATAGTTGGTACCCCATTTTTAAAGTGCCTTCCCTGGGTACCATGTATGTTTTATTGGAACAGCCCAAAGCATTTTTGCATATATAACTCAATGCATTTATTAAACACATCATAAGAGATATCCCTGTCAATGATTATATACACATAGTTTTGTAAATGTATTTACCTGACTGGACCTCTTCCTGTTATAATGCATCTAGTGTTATTTACAGCATTTGTTATTTCTTTCTTCAAGTCATTAGCTTTTAAGTTCACCTGTACTGGTTGCCTGTTATGAATAAAATTTCTAGCATTTAAAAACAAACATCTGACATAACTGTTACTCACTATTTTGAATACTGTGGATTCATTTTTATTCGTGGTATACCATTTTTGTGGGTTTCGTTGGTCACAGCGAACCATGAATTTAAGAATTCAACCAAGAATAATCCTGAGAAATGTGTATGGATTCGGATGTTTTATTTCCGGTTATGTATGCAGTTCTAGTTTAGTGTTGACAGCGATAAACATTGTAACATAACACATGTTTTTATTGAAAGAACATACAAGTATTTTGATTAAATCAATAATAACACTAGTAACTCGAATTTAGCTTGAACGGACAAAAACGCATTAACGGCATTTAAAAAAGATTAATGAAAATTGAATACAGATTGACAAAAATTAAAAATTATTTTTAATGCATTTCAATCCATATCAAATCATTTTAATACCAGTCAAATAGATTCCCTTGCGGTCATTCAAGTTAATTTGAGATATGGTTAAACTGCGTCAAACTAATTAGCCACGCCCCCGTTAAACGGAATCAAACTGATGTTAAGTCCTTTTAAACTTTAAAGTGTCCGCCTTTTTGTAAGGTAAATCACTCAAGCAGAACAGCATCCTCGTGTATCTATCATTAATCCGCTCCGAGCGTTATCGATTTAAGATATTTTACTGGTAGTTAGTTTTATATATGTTTTCCAATATTTATGTTATACGTAATGTTTTATATGTATATTGGAATGTATAATGTTATACAAGTGGTGAGACTTTAATAAAAAAAATTGAATCTGAATATATAAACATGCTTCACAAGTAAGATAAACGAATGAACAATAGATATATAACTAAATTTATAAATATTAATGCACGATTTAAAAAGCACAAAGTGTTAATCTGTTAAAAATAAAATAGCTCTTTATATCAAATTATTCGTTTTCAATATTGCTTACTAATATGAAAACTCGTGGCATGTAAGTAAGGTATGGTCTTTTAAATATATCTGCGAAAAAATAAAAACCGGAAAGATAATAAGAAGGTCGTAATTGTGCTCATTACAAACCTAGAAGTGAAAGATGTTTTTTTAATCAATAAGTTTTAATAGATGCATATTATATTTTAGGTCAGAAAAAAACATTAACATTTATACCGACATTTAAAATAGCTTGTAATTAAAAACATTTTTTTGTTAAATAATAATTTAAAAATTGATCTAGATGAGCTTGACATTTGTTGAATTCATTTAGTTAACAGTTTCGTCTTGCTAAAACTTGTAATTAAAGTAACAGCTCAATGAACTTTTAAACCTGTGTAAAATTGTGATACCGGTCACTGGTTAAAAATGTGTGTTATTTGTGTAAAAGCAGCAAACGACAAATGAAATTTGAAGTGGGTTTACGAAGGAATTATCGTTATGTCCGCATGTAAAATAATTCTTGCAAGAAATGAACATTTGACGAACTGGACTGGCTATTAAGCCCTCGCACGGTCGGCCCTGGCCCCAAAGGAATATTAAAAAAAAACCTTATGTTTATATTTGCGACATTCAAAAACGTTTTTAAGACCAAAAGGTAACTTAAACATTGTAAAGCACGTCGGATAAAATGTTTCTGTCATATAATTGTGTTAGGCATATTTTAGCGGTAATGCATATTTTAGCGGTAATTACTAGATACAAAAAAAATAATTGGCTATTCTAACTTCCCAAGTTTAATCTAGGTGCTCTCGTAGGCCACGTGTAATATTCAAATAAATTTCATTGGTCGAGATTTCATAATGTGTTATATGAAATTATCTTTAAAATAATTGCGGGAAAGGGCTGTTAAAGTGCGAGAAGAAAACTCTTTTTGTTTTTGTGGAAACGTGAACGAAGGAACGTGCTACAAATAAAGACCTGCGATTGTTTGTCAATAACTCAAATTTTCAAAATAGTAAAATATAACTAATGATCAATGTCAAAATTATTGGAAGTTTTGTGATCATGACATCACCTATGTTATGTAGTATAAATACTCGAATTTGTCAATTATACCACATCGTCTTATTTGTATATTAATCATGTCAAAATACGAAAATGGAACGAATATAGTGAAGTATTGTGTCCATGCATGGCGATATCAAAGTCGCGTACATATACGAAGAGAAGATGTGATAAAGACGTAAAAGAGACAGCAACTCAACCACACAACATACCAGAATGTGTACAGTTAGCTCTTGTGTGCATCCTTTCCTTAGGATTTGACTTTAAAAGATATTACTACTTTTGCCTGAACATACCGGAATTGTACTATTTTCTCGGAAAAGTAAGGTATTTATTTCCGGAAGCGTAGACTTTAATTGTGGAAACGTATTCTTTTTCCCGGGAAAGTAATGCCAAATTTTATATGAGCAGTGTATTTGTTTCAATGTTAGTATATAAAGCATTAACTAGTGTTAATGTCTATGGATGTATTAGTTACTGTTGCATACTAATTGAGAGATCGTCCTTTTTGATGTTCTTCGTGTGGAAATTATTCTTCCTTCAGCATGCATCTTTACTTTGTTCCTCTAATGAGATCCTCATTTACCCTTACATTATAATAGTTTGTGTACCCGTATGTATTTAGGGAATGGCACTCTCCGTGTATCGTACGTAAAAAAAAAAACTTTCGTATATTTTACGTTTCAGAGTCCTACATGTATGTTGAATTTTACTCAGACCTTAGAAAGTTGATATCAGCGCGGGTTATGCTTAAGTTAACCTTTTATTCTATATGTCAGATAACCTACTTGTTTTTATGTAGGATTGCTGTCTGATTGACGAATAGCCGTAATTTTATCTCTATATATTTTTTTTTAATTTTTTTTTTAGGGATGCATCCAATTGCACCTTTTCATTTGAAATATATTTCCGTGACGTAACCTCAAAAGATTAGTCACTTCAATAAAAAAAAATGTAAGCGAAAATGAAACCTCTTCTCGCATGTTGCACTTTGTGTAATTATTCTCTTCGAAAAAAATAAATATAAAGAAGCCACAATTTGGTTCCTAAATGGATATTTTTTTTAAAAGGGCTCAGTCTGTATAGCCATTCAAGGTCGTTAAAACTTTGATCATCCTTGTAGAGATTTTTTGAAAATACGATGGTTGTTGCCTTTTTCGAAACTAAAACATGATCAAATATAATTGGTGGCCTTCTGTTTTCATGTTGTTGTCTCTTTTACATATTTCCCATTTCCATTCTTAATTTTAGATAAAGTAAAAAATTATGATAAACAAAAGTATTCTTGTTGTCAGATCAAACAAGCCAGTGCGATAAAATTCCATTCGTTACTATTACGTAAAATATATATCACGATATCTCAGTAGCATGGGTTCGAATCCCGAAGAACAAAAAATTTGCGAAAGCAAATTTACAGATCTAAAATTGTTGGGTTGATGTTTAGACGGGTTGTATATATATATATAAGTCCTGTGTGAGAAATAACTACATGTGGTTTGTATATCAGGGGAGAATTGACAACGGGTGGTATGTATACTAAAATGTTTATCGTCTTCCATTATACATGACGTTGTGGATGAAAATTATTGACAAAAGAATAAAGAAAACAGAAAATAACCCGACAAATACATAGAAAAGAAAATGATGAGGTTCTAGAATACATGGAATAAAGAATGATCGGCAAAAGGTATAACGAATAGAAAAAAATGCCTAAAATGATAGAATACAGAAATAATGAATCCCGATTCAGACCCTCACAATCTGACGATGACATTTAGCTTTAGGGCAATTATGGGCAAACGACCAACAACACAGTGTTTTTTTTATGAAAGTTCACATACAAGCTAACTTTTACAAAATCAACTTGAATATGTTATAAAAACTATATCTATATCTTCATGTGTTGAATTTTAAAGATAAACGGGTTTGAAATTTTCGACATTTACTAAAGATTTCTGTTTCTTGAACATTTCTGTCTCCTTAAATTTTGTTTCAAAAGATAAACATATGCGGATTTCGGTAAAGAGATAAGGAATATCTTCGTTACAAAATTGGGCTCTACATTTGTGTAACAATCCTTATCAAAAATCCTTTTTGTTAAAGAAAGAAATTGATTTAAGAAGAAAAAAAAACGGCATTTTTGTTGTTTATTTATCTAGTTGAAAAAAGTCGGTTATTTCTTCATAAAAGTTGGAACGAATAATCTTCATCAGAGACATATAGAAATTGTATTGGTGTATAACGTTTCCGCATTTTTAGCAAAAATCCAGTTCACGTTTCCACATTTTCGTGCATTACTTTTCCGAAATAAATAGATACCACTTTTCAGCATTTTTACCTGTATTTCACCTGTAAAAAATGGTAATAATGATATATCGGTATAAGACTTTATTATCAAATATGGTCATCTCCTCCCGACACAGATACCAAAAGAACCACAACTGGGCCGGAATCGTTTCTCCCAGTTCTATCCATGTCACACAATTATATTTATTTTTATGGACGTTTTGCAGAAGATCCAAACAACAACTTACATCAAAATTCGGTCTTTATCAGCAATAGCATCAGTTCGTAAAAATGATCGCGAACGTGCTGAATTCGTATCCGAACAGTTTGTCAAGTATGGTAGAGAATAGAATATGAGGTTAGACTTTATACAGTCAGTTGGCTACAAGTTTACCGCTTTAAACTATGCTACATGTACTGTATAATAGTATACTGACGCTTAAAATGCTGAACATTGACTTTTAATTGATATATGACCATGTGTGATTTTTATCATTTTAAGTTGATACATTTGTAGTTTCATTTTAGTCATAAAGACTTATCCTGCTCGAAGTCCTACTTCCACCCAGTTGGTGAGTAAAGGGGGGGGGGGGGGGGGGGGGGGGGGGAGGGGGGGATACATTAAAAATTTAAATGCGAAAACGTAAATAACCTTTAATAAAATCAATGTAAAAACAATGCGGAAAAGAGTACTATAAAAATGCGGAAACGTAAGAATTTTAATGCGGAAACGTAGTGCC